GGAAACAGTAGTTAAGGTTCAAGGCCTGTCTGTCATTGTCTTCCCTTCAGCATTTCCTTTGGTTGGAGATACGCGGTCAGCATCTAGGGGGCCAAAGGGCAAGCAGCAAGGCCCTCCCAAGAGGAGGTTTTGTTTGTGGGTAAACATAACCTTGAGTAACCAAATATTTATGTGTATTTTTAAAATATATTTTTATTGATTTCAGAGAGGAAGGGAGAGGGAAAGAGAGATAGAAACATCAATGATGAGAGAGAATCTTTGATCGGCTGCCTCCTGCACGCCCCCTATTGGGGATCAAGCCCGAAACCTGGGCAGGTGCCCTTGAACAGAATCAAACCCGCAACCGACAGGCCGACGCTCTATCCACTGAGCCAAACCAGCTAGGGCCCAAATATTTACGTGTATTTTAATCTCTGGACAGGAGAGTGGTAAGAATAGAGGATGAATAAATGAGAGAAGACTATGCCCTCCACTCACCCTTCCCTACTTCTGTGTTTTTAAATGTTACTAAACCATCGCACCTCGACTTCCCTTTACTCCAAGGCAAACTCCTCTACTTCTTATTCAACCTTTACGACATACTGATCTGTGACATACTTCTGCTGGGACTTCCTCTCAGGCATTTCTTCAGTCTGCCTATTAGTGTCCGATGGTGATGTGATTGTTCCGTGAAGAAGAGACAGGCAGATCCCAGCAGACAGACACAGTCAAGTGCCCTGGCCCCGAGAAAACGGAAAAGAACCAAGCAGAGTGCTTCCGACGGGGCGAGGGGGGCTCAGGGCAAGCGGGGACAAGGCCCAGCTGAGCTGGTGAATGCCAGACTCGCCAAATTACATCTCTTGGACTAAGATCCTCATTAAGGGCCTGCACCTCAGAGACATCTTGGCCTCCCAAGGTGCATCATCATGGAAGACTGGCCATGATAACAGTAATTTAAAGGAAGTTAAGAGAACGGTCTAAATTAGAACAGGTACTCACGCTTCCACTTCTCTCGAGGAGTCTCAGTGGAATGAAGAAAACTCACTGGAGGACTCATGGGCAGCATAAACTTTGAAGGTGGACGTGACCAGCCTGTGAGCGAGGCTCAGAAACAAGAGCGCATCCCATGGTGTTAAGGGTTCTACTGTTTTCTTCCAAGTCATTTCACTACAGAACAATTTCCAGCAGCAGCTTGGTCTACTCGGTGACTCAGTCATGTTCTATTGGGGCTTTCCATCACATGCTGCCTCGTCCCTACCAGCATGGCCATTGCCAAAGAGCTACAGGGCTTCGAGTTAGGGAGAGTTTCAACACGACCCTCCTGAGGAATCCTGGGTGGAGGGTGGGACACTGTTTCCTGCACCTGCCCCTCGCTGTGTCCCCCACAACCTTTCACACACTCTATACCCAGCAGAGTGACAGTAAGATAGCTCCCTGGGACAAAGTGGGGAGGGGAGCGTCATTCTCTCACTGGACTTAACAACAACGCCCAACAGGAAATGCACAGCACAGGTGTGGGAGTTTGGCTGACTCGTGGCAAAAAATAAACACGGTTTCCTGTTTGCCTCTTATTTTCAGTCCTAAGTGGTAAGGAGTTGCTGGGAGGGACTTCCTGCCAGGACTAGCACTTTATGCAGGCGAAGAAGGTGTCATTTGGGGGCCAAAAAATGCCGATACCTGCGACCTTCCAAAAACTCTCACCTCTCATTCATTGGTATCACGCCTTAAAGTAATAGTGTTTTAAGTTGGGCTAAATCATTGTGCTACTTGGAGTGTTGAAAGATTGGCACCTTGAAGCATTATAATTTTTTTCATGTATCTGATTAGATGAAAGCAATTACAAGTTGAGAGAATATTTAGTTTTCTGTCTGTTCATCCATCCAATTCATCTATCTATCCATCCATCCATATTCATCCACCCATCTATCCATATCCATCTACCCATCCATTCATCCATCCATCCATCCATTCCCTAGGTGCCTTTTTACTCCCAGCTAATTTTTTAATGTATTTATTGGAGGGAGAGAGAGAGAGAGAGAGAGAGAGAGAGAGAGAGAGAGAGAGAGAGAGAGAGACATCAATTTTTTATTCTACTTATTTATGCATTCATTGGTTGATTCTTGTATGTGCCCTGACCTGGCATCGAACCCATAACCTTGGTGTATCATGACAACGGTCTAACCAACTGAGCTACCCAGCCAGGGCTCCCAGCTAATTTCTTACAATCTAACATGGATCTCATATGGCCTTGTGGCTTCTAATGAGTCCATGTGTATATAGCAGTATTTCCAGTGAGACTGCAACCTCCTGAGTGGAGAGAGAACATCAAATACTTAAAATAAAACTTCATGAGCGTGTAGAGCAAAAAGCCAAGCACGCAGTAGGTGTGCACTATATTCCTGTTACGATAGAATGCGACCTGGGAAATGATCTGCCCAGCCTGGCAGGGGAAGGTCCCCAAGCAAAACCCTCCCCGGTTCACTCCCTGCTGCAACATGGCCGTTCTCACACCGTGATTTACAAGGTGGGCAGAACTGCCTCAATTACACAACACACACGGTGCTGCCTAAGGGAAGTCCTGCCGATGGCAGGGGAGTCTGCCTGCATTCCTTTTTGGTTCTTGGAGCTTTCAAGCATCCCACTTGCCCTGGGTCACAGGCACACTCACCTCTGAGTCACCTTGTGCTCCCTCGTTAGCATCTTTAGTAACAGCTGTCACATTAGTGCAAAACCACACTCCATCTTCCAAGGCCTGGCTGCCATGCAGTTTTTTCCCCCGCATCCACTTCTTTGCCAGACATTTAATGCGTAGCCATTAAGTGCCAGGCATTGGACTGGGCATGGGGGAATACGGTGGTGAATAATGCATATAATTACTGCTCTTCAGGGAAGCAGAGCCCTCGAGACAGACAACAGACAACCACAACTCATTGCGATGAACATTAGAACAGTGGAGCCAAATAGAGGGCACTAACCCTGCCTGGGGGGTTGGGTGTTGGCTTCACAGAGAAGGTGCCTTTCCAGTTGACTCCTAGGGGTACTTAGGAGTCCCCCAGGAAGTGAGGAGAGGAAGGACGGCCACAGCAGGGGGAATACTGGATGCAGAGGTAAGAGTGTAAGAATCCGGGACAGCCGGTGGTGAAGAGGGGAAGAGCATGGATGTGAGGCTGGGGAGTTGGAGGAGGGTGCATGGGAGGAACAGGGGATGAGGCTGCTACAGGTGAAGCAGGGCCCTGTGCGACAGGCTAAGGACTTGGGCTCTTACAGGGACAACGGGGAGCCATTCAAGGTGTGGAGAGACAATCATGTTTGTGCTTCGGAAAAATCTTTCTGACCAGGAGAATGGTTCTGAGGCTATTGTAAACGTAGAGAAGAGATAGTGAGGGCTAAGGCTAATCGTGGAGGGCGGATGGAGAGGACGGACATAATTAATATGAAAGCTGCTTAGAAGGTAGAGGCAATGGGTGGGACACACACACAGAAGGAAGGAGAGAGAGGGATGTGAAGATAAATCCCAAGATGTCCAGTTCCAGCCCAGCGGGCATGGTTTGGTGGTTGAGCGTTGACCTATGAACCAGGAGGTCATGGTTTGATTCCGGTCAGGGCACATGCCCGGGTTTCAAGCTCAATCCCCAGTGTGGGGCATACAGGAGGCAACCTATCAATGATTCTCTCATCATTGGTGTTTCTATCTCTCTCTCCCTCTCCCTTCCTCTCTGAATTCAATAAAAAAATATTTGGAAACACCAGATCAGCCTGGGAAATGCTGCCAGGCTAGGTGCAGGATCCACTCGGCTTACCGAGGCCCCTGTCCTCACCTTCGTTACTCCTGGAGGAAGGACACCGGGGCCCAAGACTCCACACGAGCCTTCCCTTTCCTGGCATTTCCAGAAAAAATATTGGGAAATACCCCAAAGCTTACTGTCCACACAGCAGCCCTCAGCGATTACGGCAATTGCTCAATTATATGGTTCTTCGTGAAGGACAGATTACAGGGTTCCTTAGCTGAAGGCTCTGTGCCCTGACCAGATAAAACTAAATTAAAAAACAACAACAACAACAACATGCCAACACTGGGCATTTTCGGAGCGTATGGCAACAGTTAGTTCTGGTCGGCAAGGCACAATAAACCGGGGGGAGGGGGGGTTCTGTTTGGTTTTGCTTCTTAAGGATATGGAAGGTCTGAGACCCAGGTGTGCTTTTAGAAAGAACAGGCATCGTTTGCAAATACCTGATGTCAAACAAATGATAAAAGTGCAGGCTGTTGGCAAGTTCTCCATGAGCCCAGTTCCAGTAGTTTGTTGCTAGGTCTGTGTCTTGCAACTTGGAGTTCAGGTTTGCATAGAGATGGTGGTATATACGCCTCCAGCCCAGCCCGGAAGAATAATCCTAGTCTAGCAAACCACACGACCATCCACCCAGTGTCCCACTGTGGCAGATCTGAATTACTTTCCCACCAGCCATTGTCCTACTTTCCTTTCCTGGTGCTAGAACTTGCCTCCCTGTAAATACCCAATATTTACCTTCCCAGCTTCCTTTGGCGTTATGGCCTGGGCAAGCCTTACCATCCTGGCCAAGGAGCATTGCCAAGAAATCTGTTGAGTGGTTCTTGGAAGAGGTTCTCCTTCGGTGTGTGTGTGTGTGTGTGTGTGTGTGTGTGTACGCACACATGTGAGGATGTGGTGTTTGGCCATGAGGAACAAATCCTGAGGTTATCATCCAACACTCTGGGGATGGTAGACCAGAAAGACGGTAAAAGTGGGGTCCTTGACTTATTGAACTGTAACCATCCCCTCCCCCTATTTAGACTTTTGAGAAAAGTGTACTTACCGAAGACTCCATTCTAGGTGAATATTACAGCTCCTAATTGTTCTACCCTCCTCCAAATGTCCTCACAGAGGCATGCTGGCGGAACTCTTCAACTTATCCACGTCAGGTGTGCGAATGTTTTAGCATTCCCAAATCCCTGGGATTTAAGCGTTTTAATGCAAAGCCTTGCAGCAAAGGGCCGGAAAGGAGTTATGTAATTTTTATTTTTTCATGTTTTTAAATTTTGCCGCTTTAACTATTGGGGGGAATAAAGGTGTTCTAACATGGCCCGCTGGTTTCTCTTTCTCATGGGTGTTGTCATCCATTCCCCAGCCCAGCTCTGTGGAAGACAAAGGCAAGTCTCGGAGAGTCCTTTCGTCGGTGCACGAGATGCCCATTTTGCGCATGTGCAAACTCATGGGCAGGTGTTGGGGAAATACCAGCCTTCGCATCTCCTACGAGGCAGAGAATAACGGCAATGAAATAACGCGCGGAGGTCGGGAGCACCTGTTCCAGCACAGCAGGCTCATCCTGGCTCCGCCACTGGCTGGCAAGTTACTTAACACGCCTCATCTTTTGCGTCCTCATTGATAAAATGATGTTAATGGGGTAGAGGTCCCAAGAATCAAGACCTGGGAAGTCTTTAGCACTATACCTGGCACATAGTAAGAACTCAATACATGGGGACGATTGCTCCCAATACATGGCCGATCTGCTCTTCCCAGGTGGCACTGTGAGTCGAGAGGGTGTCCCTATGTGCAGGCTTTGCTCTTCATCATGACCTTGGGGGTTGGATTTAGCAGAAAGCAGCTCATATTTGGAAACCCCTTGTCTCCTTCTGGGTCTATCCACTTATGGAGCTGTTCTTATTAATGTGGCATCATACTTGTGTCTGCAGCATGGTTTTTGGCTCATGACTCGGTATCCCTAGTAGACTAGGAGCTCCTTGGGGGTAGGACTGAGATTTTCATTGCTGGGTCCTCCAAAGTTCTCAGCTCCAGGCTGTGTACATGCCTAAGGAATGTTGGTTAGTGAATGGATAGATGGGCAGCAACTGTGACATGAGGAATTGGGGCTAATTTCTAGAATGTTCAGAGAGCAGTCCTTCGAAACTTGGCTACGCATTAAAATCATGCCTGGATAGAGGGACCCACCGTCTGGTTTGTACAAATTCCAAGGACTCGAGACTTTCAGTTTTAAAACAAAAATTGGGGGGTTTCCTGGGACTCAGGACTTTTAGTGGCAAAAGATGGGAAATTCCGAGAAAAGTGTGAGAGTCAGTCCTGGGAAAACTGGGCGGGTTGGTCATCGTATCAAGAGGCTTTAAAACATGCTGATGCCTGAGATCTGCCCCCAAATTTTCTGATCTGATTGGCTTGGGGGTGAAGATTAACTGCCTGGGTTCATGTGCGCACTGGAGCTGTGAGTGGGTTACAGGCGGCCTGAACAATGGACCCCTTCAGACTTCGGGGTGCTGATGGCGTGAACAGGGTTGGGAAGCACTGACTGAGTCATGCTCCATAAAGGTGGTGAAGAGAGAATATGTTAAAAAAGAAAATTCCAAGGCATCACCTAAGACCCTCCAAACTGGGGCCCTACGTTGGGACCAAGCTTCCCCAGTGATTCATTTGCACACCCAGATTTTAGAATCCCAAGAATGTACAGCTATAATATATGTACAGCTAGAGTATATGCACAGCTAGAACATATGCACAGCTAGAACATATGTACAGCTAAAGTACATGTACAGCTAGAACATATGTACAGCTAGAGTACATGTATAACTAGAACATATGTACAGCTAGAACATATGTACAGCTAGAGTACATGTACAGCTAGAGCATATGCACAGCTAGAATAATACTTCCAAGGAAATGCCTTTGGGAATGGTCCCACTTGAATTGACTTGGGCCCAGAAGGTAACAGATGAGATAAAGGGATGGGAACGGAACCATCTTTCATCATCACAGAATCTTCTCCTTTCCCCAGACTTTTTCCTCCCCTTGAAATGGGTATTTCTGAACATCACAGCTGCCTTCAGACCCCCCTCCACCTCAGGCCACCGACCTTCAGGTGGCTAGAGTCAGCCTCTTGTGGCCAATGAGGTTATTGTTCTCGATTCCCTGCTCCCTCCTGCCCGGGGAGCTCACAGTAAACAGAAGCGGAATGAGGCTATTTCTCTGCAGAAGAGCGAGTGAGAAGCACAGATGCTTGGATGGGCAAGCCGCTGAGTTTGGGGGAGGTTGGTTGTGCAGCATTTGCGTGGCCGGAACGGACTCATCCATCCCACAAAAGGGGAAAGGGTTGACATTTGTCACCGGTCTCACCAAAGGACTTCGCAACCCTTCCCAGAAGAAAAGCGAGCTTACCATGGTGGCGAGGGCCCGGAAAGGGGTGAAGACCTGCCCGAGCTGATAGCATTTGTGCATGTTGATGTCCCCGTAGCGACTGCGACGCTCCTTCCAGCCGGCCAGTCTCTTCTCCGTCTTCATGTCCAGGAGGTCCCGGAAAGGGCCCTGCTGGGGGGGACGGGCCACGGGCACCTGCGGTGAGGAGCCCAGAGAGCGCGTCCCACCAGCTCCCACAAGTCAGGGTGTACTGCTTAAAAAGGCACGTCTTCACGCCTCTCCTGCACTAGGCGGACCGCCATTTGCCTTTCTTAATGGTCTACAGCAGCCGTGGGCAAACTACGGCCCGCGGGCCGGATCTGGCCCATTTGAAATGAATAAAACTAAAAAAAAAAAAGACCGTAGTACCCTTTTATGTAATGATGTTTACTTTGAATTTATATTAGTTCACACAAACACTCCATCCATGCTTTTGTTCCGGCCCTCCGGTCCAGTTTAAGAACCCATTGTGGCCCTCGAGTCAAACAGTTTGCCCACCCCTGGCCTACAGCCTTGGGAGGTAGAGAAAAGGGCCGTCGCTCCATGAGTTGCTGGGTCTGCACAGCAGATTGGGGGTCAGGGCACCGAGTTCTATTCTGACTGCGCCACTCACTGTAGGACCTCGACTCACCACCCACCTCTATGGTGGTTCAGTGACTGAGGTCGTTTTCAGCCTCGGAATGGCATGGTTCGTGGGGCACTGGCTGCCAAGAATAACATCAACCAATGGCCATCCTTGCCGAAGGCCGGAGGCAGGCTCCGACGTGTGATTGTGTGCTGCAGGGTCCCCTCTTGGGATTCTAATCTCACTTCTATCAGAAACTGAGGAGCAAAGGAGCCCCGTTTGCATTCCACTTGGAGAGACACTGACACAGGGTGCCCAGCGGACCGCCCAAGCCAGAGAGCTTCCTTGCCCAGCACCGTCCCTGCTCTCTACCGAAGGCACCACCTGCTGGGTGCCCACGGCTGCTCTGATGCTTGTTCTCAACTGGTTTCCCCGGTCCCCAGCCACCTCGCCCTCACCTGCCCTCTCTCCTCTGGCCTCGCCTCTCTGGACTAACAACCGAGTCCTGCAAACTGTCCATCAGTTTCTCGAGAAGAGCTGAGGCCTTCCTGCTCTGCGTGTGTGGCCAGAGGGTGAGTGAGGTCCAGCCTGATTCTTGGCCCCAGGGCCCACCCCAGACATGCTCGGCTCCCCCTTGGGTGCAGAGGAAGCGCAGCAAATACTGCCTCTCTCTACGTATTGATTCTTTTTTTTTTTTTTTCAATCCTCACCCAAGGAAATTTTTTCCATTGATCTTTAGGAAGCGAGTGGGAGGGAGGAGGGTGAGAGATAAACATCGATGTGTGAGACACATGGACTGGTTGCCTCCTGCAGGTGCCCTGACCGACCCCGGGGACGAACAAACAAACAAGATACATGCCCTTAACTAGGAATCGGACCCTCAAACCTTCGGTCCTCGGGCCAATGTTCTAACCACTGAACAGACCTTCCAGGGCTACGCATTGCTTCTTTTACGCCCCACAGAGGCAGGGTAATGTTTGGCAAGGTGGTGGTGGTAGATGCAGCCTGGCTTCTGATGGCCGGGTGCACCCGCCTTTCTCGCTGAGACACCTGGGGAGTAGGGGTGTGCTGAGGAGTGGGCGGCTGGACACACCGCAGGAACCTCATCCCAATTAGGGGGTTGGACCATTTCCTGCCTCCCACACAGCAGGAAACGAATGTGTTGGTTTATTTCTTCTAGCACTGCCCAGGCAGGCACTGCGATGGCAGCTCTGGAGGCAGCGGGGACAGAGGAGCTGACATCGGAGGCCCCTAGGGACATTACAGGTCAACATCCCACATCCCAAACGGAAACAGTGAGACCCAGCAGGTGAGAGGACTTCCCGCGGCCTCTGTCACCTTCTCTTGCCTCCAGTTTAAATTCACATGCGTGGCTTCAGGGGGTGACTGTTCCAAGGAAGGCGGCCCCAGAGTCCACCTTGAGGACGGACAGACAGGTGCCAGTGGACCTTAACGGGCCAGACCAGCCCCATCACTCTGGATCGGCTGGAGCCGACTGAGAGCAGAGCTGTATCCCGTGAAAGATGAGAGAGTCCTCCACCCCTGGACCCTTCTGTCTGCTCCTTCCCCGACCTGTCATGGTGCCTCTGTTTAGGAAGGCTGTCATCACCATCATGACCACCAGGACATTTTCCAGAGGAGCCAAAACCTGCATGCACCTCCTTTCCTGCCAGATCAGCCCCCCTCTGGTCCTCTCCTGCCTCCCCGACTCCCCTTTCAGAATTCTGGTGTTGGCTTCCAAGGAAGTGTCTGACCCCCGTCAGAGCTAGCTCCTCCTCTGGGCTTCCACACCATCTCCCCCGGGAGTCTGTGTCCCCCACCTGACTTACTGCGAGGTCTCTCTACCCCGTTATGTCCCAACTACACCCTGGGGTCCTCAAAAACGGAGCCTGCGTTTTACCACCTTGGATGGATGACATGTCACGTGCTAAGTGCTTAGCAGAGGTTTGTCACGTGAGGAGCGATTGATGGCCATTTCTGGATGGTACGACAGTGGGGAGAGAGGATTAGATTACCACCGAGCTTTCCAAAAACGCCTCTCACACAAAACAAAATGAGCCTGTGAACCGGAGGGTGAGGCAGGGGGTAAAGACTCGCCTCTCACTCAGTGGAAATGTAGCAGCAACTGGGGGAGAACAGGGGTACCTGGGGGGGAAGAGACCATTCGGGGCCTCAGAAAACTGTCCGATTTTGAGGACTTTTCTTCTTTCAGGGAACCCTGATGAGATTCACAACGCACTATGACCTGTGCTCGGGGCTTCATCTCTCTCTCTGCACCGGCCTCACGTGGAGGCAGGAGGTGATGGGGGTGGGATGGGGTCAACGGTCAAGAGAAACCATCGGCACCTCGTTTGCTCAGCTCATCCCTGTGTGGGGCACCTCTCAGCCTGCAGGGCCGAGGGAGGAGAGGGGCTGGGAGACTTACATCGTGTATTTGGAAGTTCTTTGCTGCGGGAGGAGACAGTTGCCAGCTTCGTCCCACAGCTTTGGAGCTCGGACTCGAGATGAACCGTGGATACACAGGTCCCAGGGGGGTCGGCAGCTTCAGGTCTGTTCCTGGAGACGAGGAGAGAAACGCCACATTGCAGACTCCCACGCCCAGTGCTCGAATCTTCCCCGCCTGGACTGGGGTTGACGTCTCTGGGGTTGACCCCAAAGTGTAACAAGCAAGAGGCTTGTGCAGAAGGGAGCAGCCCCTCAACCCAGGGCCAGGAAAGCTCTTCCTGGGACACAGATGGAGGCCACAGGACGTTCTGATCTGCTCTCTCTGGAAGCTGAGGACGTGGTGGGCAGGCGGGGCCTCTCTCTCCGCAGGGGAAGGATGGGCAAGTGGTCTTGCCAAGGCCACATGAGTGGAGTTGATTATGACTCTGAGGGGTTAACTGAAGAGAAGATAACTAAGGGTGTCACATGGCCATTTAACTAGGTTAACTGAAGAATGAAGCATGCGACCCTCTCATCTTTCTGCGTTTGTGCAGAATTATTCTTTCACTTTTGTGCAGAGGTCAGCAAACTCTCTGTCGAAGGCCAGATAGTAAATATTTTAGGCTTTGTGGGCCATGCGGACTCTGCTGCAACTATACAACATGGCAGCTGTGCAACACGGCTGTGGCTGTGGCGGCACAAAAGTAGCCATCGAGAGCATGTAAATGAGTAGGTGCGGCTATGTTTCAATAAAGCTTTATTTATGGGCACGAAAAAGTGTCATATAGTTTTGGTTTCCTTTTCAATCATTTAAAAATGGTAAGTCCGTTCCTACTTTGCAAGCCATCCAAGAACAGGTCGCAGGACGCGTTTGGCCCGTGGGAGAGAGAGGAAGAGAGGGCGGGAGGACTGAAGGAAATAAAGGAAGAAAGGAACCCAAAAGTGGAGTCTCTGCTGTCCCTTAGTCATTCATTTCCGCGCTGGCCAGCGTCCAGGGGTGCGATGCAGTTCCGCCTCAGCTCAGTGCCGTCTAACTTCCTGTCGCTGCCAGACAGTTGTCTCCCACATGTATGCAGTGAAGAGCTAGGCAACGGCAAGCCTGCATCTCTGTTTCCTTTGACGTCTTCCTCTCCCAGCCATGACCTTGGGTGGTGCTCATTTCCTTCCCCCACCTTTCAGGAGCTGATGTGAGAGCCAGGGTGGGAACCCGGGTGCTGTCTCGGGAAGCTCCCAAGGCCCGAAGTGAAGCACTGCTCTTCTCACGGAATTTAAAAAGAGTGCGTGAGCCTGGCTGAGCCGTCTCCCCAGGATGTCAGAGGGGGTATAAAAAAACAACTCAGAATGACTGTGTCCCCAGCTGCCGTGGCTCAGCGGCTGAGCGACAACCTACGAACAAGGAGGTCAGGTTTGATTCCCAGTCACATGCCAGGGTGGTGGGCTCCATCCCCAGTGAGAGGCATGAAGGAGGCAGCCGATCAATGATTCTCTCTCATCATTAACATTCCTATCTCTCTCTCCCTCCCCTTCCCTCTCTGAAATCCATAAAAATATATGTTAAAAAATGACTTTGTGGGGTCAGCCCAAACACTTACTCTTTGAGGTCGTCGTGGAACGCTGACATTGTAAAGCCTCCCTTGGTGGGAGGGGTGGCGGCGGCTAGCACAGCCTCGCACGATGTCCTGAACATGGCAGACTCTCGGTCAGTGTGTGTGACACAGAGGAGGGGGCGGGGGGTGCTGGGGAAGATTTTGTCTGAACAGGAGCTTTGGTTTCCTTCCAGCTGAACTGTCCCGGGTTGTGTCTCGGGGCTTTGGAGGAGCCTGAGATGTTCTGGGGGCAGAGTTCCCCTTCAGCCCGGAGGTGAACGAATCCAGTCTTCATGTCACCACAGAGGACCGCACGTGGCTCTCTGTCTCGCACAGCTGCCCTGGCTCAGTGCTCCCTTCCCCGAGGAACGCAGCTTCCGTGGGCTCTGCCAGAGCCTCCGGTCCATCGCGTCTGCTTGATGCTGCGCTGGCAACCGCTCCTCCAGGACCAGCCGGCAGGAGGAGGGCCCGCGTCCACCCAGCTCAGGAGGTGTGCCCCTTGGTACCCGAGAAGGATCTGGAGGTTACAGGGGTGGGGGAAGATGAGGCTGCCGCTTCCTGTTGCTCTTTTTCCTTGTGAAATAATGAGAGCATTTGGGCCATTTTTCAGTTCTTATCTTTGGTAGTAATTTTTCTTTGGGAGGGATGCTGGCGGGGGAAGCAGGAAGGGATGTTGGAAAGAGGCTGCGCTCTGGACGAGATTAAACCCTGAAGGGAAATACACAGGGTCAGAGAAGACTGAGGAAGTTTTGAAAATGAGCATTCGTAACCTAACAACGAGCTCCATGCTCCCCGTCCTTAGGCGCATCTTTGGCATTAGATGCCGAGGTCTGGGAGGCAGAGTTTGGGTCCTACAGATCTTTGAAGCCCTGCACCCGGCATGAAGCTTGGCACACAGTGGGTGCTTCATACATGTAGGTGACGGAGTACGCATTGCATGAGCAAGCAGAAAGCAAGCCGGCACCAGCAGCTTTCTGGGCAAGGTGGGCATTTTAAGCTTTTCTCAACGCTATCCCAGCTGGTAGGTGGGCTGTCTGCCAGAGGGGCCCTAGCGGTTTGGCTCAGCGGATAGAGCGTCGGCCTGTGGAGTGAAGGGTCCTGGGTTTGATTCTGGTCAAGGGCACATGCCCGAGTTGCAGGATTGATCCCCAGTGTGGGGCGTGCAAGAGGCAGCCAATCAATGATTCTCTCTCATCTTTGATGTTTCTCTCTCTCTCCCTCTCCCTCTCTGAAATCAATAAAATATATGTATATTTAATAGCAGAGTGGCTTGAAAAGGTGTGATGTGTGGTAAATTTCAATATCTTTGCTGGGAGCCAATGAAAAAATGCTTTATTGCCGCTCATGTCTCTTTGGCATGTCATGTTCTCAGCAGTTTCTCTTTAAGGCAGCGGTTCTCAACCTGTGGGTCGAGACCCATTTGGGGGTCGAACGACCCTTTCACAGGGGTCGCCTAAGACCATCGGAAAACACATCTATAATTACATATTGTTTTTGTGATTAATCACTATGCTTTCATTATGTTCAATTTGTAACAATGAAAATACATCCTGCATATCAGATATTTACATGAAGATTCATCACAGTAGCAAAATTACAGTGATGAAGTAGCAACGAAAATAATTTTATGGTTGGGGGTCACCACAACCTGAGGAACTGTATTAAAGGGTCGCGGCATTGGGAAGGTTGAGAACCACTGCTTTAAGGGGAATTTAGCTTCCAGACCATTCACGGTTCAGCCCCAGCAGCAGCTCTCATCCCCGGTGGACTGTTGGCGACTCCTGGGGCGAGGGGCTTAAAAACAATTCCAATGCAGGACACGCCCCAGGCCAAAGGCATGCGAGCTGTGGCAGAGGGGAGCTGCCCAGACCCTGCGGGTGACTGAAATGTGTGCAGCCGTGGCCAAGAACCACCGGGTGAGAGTTCCAGTCCATCTGCGTAATCCGCGGCCAAAGCCGGCGGCCCTTGAGGGTGGAAATGATAATCCCGTGGGTGACAGTATCTGATTGAAGTCAGCACTTTTTCTTTTGACCGTGGCTTTCACAGGCCGAGAAAACTCTGAGCCTTTGCATCCAACAGTCATTTAGTTGGAGTAAAGCTTTGTGGCTGTTTGCCAGCTTTCGCATGGGGTGGGGGCGAGGGAACATGAGTGTCAGGGAAATGCCACGATTTCCTTCAGAGCAATGTTGGCGTTATTATATTCCGAATCCCCAGCTCCTACGATGGGGCCTGCCATGGAGCAGATGCTCAAAAATGCTAAAATAATTATAGCAGCTGCTGCCGGCTGGTCACGTACTGTTACAGTCACTATCTCATTAGTCTTCAGAGCAACCGTATGAGACGGGTCCCCTCAGTATCTCCAGGACAGGGTGTGGTAGGCAACATTCTAAGGTGGCCCCAGGGTTCTTCCCCAATTATGCGTTTTCTGTATTATCTTCTCTGCTTGAGTGTGGGTAGGACCTATGAATATGGATATGACTCCTGATTATGTTACATTTATGGCAAAGATGAAGGAATTCTGCAGGTGTAATTAAGGTCTCTAATCAGTTGACTTTAGATTAATAAAAAGGGAACTTATCTTGGGTGGGCCTGACCTCATTAGGTGAGCCCTTTCAAAGAGGGTTGAGAAGTTATACTCAAGTCTTGCTGGGCTTGCTTTTTTTTTTAATCCTCACCTGATAATATGTTTTTGTTAATTTTAGAGAGAAGAAGGGAGAGAGAAAGAGAGACAGAAACATCAATGTGAGAGAGAAACATCAATCGGTTGTCCTTCTCTCCCCCACGCCCCCATGTACCTTACTGGGGATTGAACCCACAACCTAGGTATGTGCCCTGATTGGGAATCAAAACCACAACCTTTCAGTGTACGGGATGATGCTCCAACCCACTGGGCCACCAAGCGGAGAAAGCCACTGTCAGTTCTACTGCAGCAAGTAAATGGATCCTGTCAATGACCCTGAGCCTCGGGTAAGACCCTGAGCAGAGGACCCAGCTAAGTTGTGCCCAGACCCCTCACCTACAGAAAGTGAGATAAAAGCAAGTGTTGTTTTAAGCTGCTAAGTTTGTGATCACTGGACACATGGGAATAGCTCACTAACACACCCGAGAGGGAGTCCTGGTACAGAGAAACTGAAGGACTTGGCCAGGGATCCACAGTAGGGGGTGGGGGTCAGGTGTGGACCACCAATAGGCGGTCCATCGCGGGTGATATTTACACGTGATTGAACTACCGTTTGCAGGAATGTTGCACAGGGCTGCCAGCATACATTCCCAGGCTGCTTCCTTCTCTCAATGACTTCACCATTGGTGAACTCAAGCATTATTTAGCACCTACTATGTGTCAGACTGCAGTGGCCAGACTACAGCCTTTAAGATCTCTCCTAATGTGTGATTCTTCGATGCTCTGAGTCAGATGAGCTCCATCTTGCAAAAGGAAAACAAAACAAAAAAAACAAGGCACTAAGACCTGGGATGAGATGCACAGAGCCACACAGCATTCTTCCTGAGCCTTTGCTCTATCGACTCTCCTTCCTTTTTCAGTCATTTGTTCTTTTCAGAAGAAACAAAAACACGAAGTCATGCAGGGCTCACCCATCCAGTCGCGGTGAGCATGGGTAGGCAGGATGCTAGGTTACTCAATATTGGTCTCAGTGATGTGTTTTCCTGCCTCCGACAAATTGGAGCAAATGCTCCCTTTGATCTGCAATCTCCCAAGTCTCCCCAGATACCCTGGAGCAGAAGCGGGTGATAGGCAAGGGCTGTGGTTCACATTTCGTGCAACACGTGGCTTTCTGGTTGGGGAGTGGCAGCAGGTTCTTCAAATACAGTCACCCCGCTATTCCCTGCACAGAGATTCCAAAAATTGCTGTGGAAGCCCATTTCTTTTTGAATATTTCTGAATAAATCTCTCTCTCTCTCTCTCTCTCTCTCACACACACACACACACACACACACACACACACACACTGACACGCACACACACACACACACACCACTCCACTGCCAATCTTTACATCTTATGTGCATGGATCTTTCCTGCCAGGATCTCTTGTCCAGCACAAGCTCTGTGGGTTCAGGGGTCTCCTTGGGCACTGAGGGCCAACCGCCTAGGGCAGCTGGGCATTCCACAAGCAAGCGGCCCACCCACTCAGGCCGCCTTTGACGTCGTAACGTGCCAGGCCTACAAGATGTAGCGAGAGCGACTTGGCAGCTGTGTAGGACCGTCTGACGCTGGTCAAAGCATCTGTTGGAAAACTTGCTTTGTCATTTCCTGAGCCTTTTGGGGTCAGAAGTGGGTAGGAACCCCCCAACTGGAAGAAAATGCTAATCATTTTCAAGTGGGAGGAAAATAAGAACCAGATGAGCTCACATGGATTCGGAGCTGCAGGCTCCCACAGCCCTGCCCTCGGGGAGCAGCACGGACACCCCGAGGTATTTATGTGGCCCAGACTGGACCATAAGTGGGGGGGGGCGGTGCTCCAGTTCACCGTCCCCCAGCATGGCTGAGGCTGGAGACCAGTTGGGGAATGGAATGGGCCCCTGAATGCGTTCCCTGCGTGAGTCTCTTTGACCTTCTTCATCAATGTCATCCACCGAGGTATTTTCAGCACCTGGAACAGTGCCTGACACAGAGTGGATGCTCAACAGTCACTGAATGACCAGACGACTCCATTTCTGTGTCCTCGCACTTTCTGCCGTTCTTGTCACTTAGCTGCCTTTGTGTAAATGGTTGCTTCAGGAAACTAAGGTAACTTAGCCAGGGGGGCTTTGACCTCTAAACAGAAGTGGAGAGGACTATGCATTGGGAAGGCTGGGAGAGTGAGGGGGGATCCATATAACTGTGTGGGGGTGTCTGCAAAAGCTGTCCGTCATGGGCAGAGCCTCAGGAAGTGTCTGAGCTGGGAGGCAGTTTCTCCCAAGTTGACGCTCATTTTGAACTCCATGTGCAACGAAGACTTTGCACTGGCTTCACTAAGATAAAAGGGTTTCTCCCCCTCCCCTCCGCCCCTCCCCTCTCTCTCCTACTTTTGCTGCATCTTTTCTTACCCTGCAATTCTCCTTAATTACTGGTTTCCGTCCTGGGGAGTAAGACCAGGCTTTGCAAAAGACCCATTTTCCAACCTCGGTCTTACCTGGTTTATGTCGTCACAGCTTTCCTTGGTCTGAATGTGACTAAAACCAAGACGACTATGAGGGAATTGAAACTGATTTTCAAAAAAATGAGTGGCATCTATGTAACTAGACACCCTTTCTGATTCTGTGAATGGGACTCTAAAGGTAATTAGGAGAATTGATGTATCCCCTTTGGCAACTGCAATTTGTCACTGCGTGTAACACTTGGAGTGATAGGTCTATGCTAATGACCAGAAAGAGCTGCATCTGCCGGTTAACAAATGAGGCTTAAAGATACCTTTTCACCTAAGAAACACTTTCTGGCTTTTCCCTCCTCGATCAGCAAGGCACACTTCGCAGAAACGTAGATGTATTTGCCAAAGGTTTGATTTCTTTGAGGCACAGATGGAAAGGCAAGGATGCGCTGCCTCTGCACCTTCCCCAGCTCTCTGGGCACAAACAATACAGGCTACTCCCTACGTCTAGCTCAAGGTTGGTAAATGAGAGCTTTGGGAGCCGAGATTTGTTCCTCCTACTTGAGATACCTCATTGGCTGGTGGCTGGTCCCTGCCTTCAAGGGATGTGCCCGGGGCTCAGGTGTGTGCTTTGCTGAGCTTAGAGACTGAGCCCAACGTCTGACTCTACACAAATAAAGGCAATGAATGGGGTAAGGCTTTGTGGGCCCTTGGCCAGAAGCAAGCCATCCCCTTGGAGACGGAGCTCGCTGTTCCTTCCAAGAGTCAGATTCATGGAAAAGACGAGGCTGACCCTCAGGGACCCGGGCCCTAGTGTGCGGCTATTCAGCTCATTGACATGCACAGCCTTTGGCTTCATTGGGAGCGGTTCTCTTTGGCCCAAAACCAGATAATACTTAAATCTGGAAATGAGAGCTTTTGAGCCAGGAGTTGCCATGAACAGCAGTAGCTCTGCAGAGCTGCGGTTTACAACTTTGTTTCCTCTCACATCTGCTCTGCCCCCGGCCCAGGAGGCTCCTACTCCAGGACCCCGTTTCATAAAACCGGAGGATGCCAGCAGGTGCACCAGGACTGGGTCCCTAGCCCTGGGCTGGCCCTACCTTTGGCATCTTTTCGTGCTTCTGTTTTGCTGGGAGGGCCTTCCTCAGTAGACTGGTCACCTCCTGTGTCCTCTGTTCTGTCCTCAGGGATGTGGACACCCTCGCCCTTCTCCAGCAGCTGACCATGAGGCTGGGCCAGGCCTTCAGGCGGCTCTTCATGCTTCTTGTTCTCCTTCTTCCTCTCATGGGGAACTCTAGACATAAAACAATAAAATAAAAAAACCACACCATCAGGTGTGATGTGTTGAGTGATGCAACAGCCCCATGGGAGTGGCCCCACAAGTGGTCAGAAGAGGAAGGAGCTGAAGTGGGACCCCCAACTTAATGAACATGTATTTAATCTGGAAGGAAAAGAAATGGATGCTTTCAGCTTATTTTTGCTTATTTGCATACTAGAGGCTGGTGCACAGATTTGTGCACTGATGGGGTCCCTCGGCCTGGCCTGCACCCTCTTGCAATCCAGGACCACTCGGGGGATGTCAGAGAGCCTGTTTTGGCCCGATCCCTGCAGGCCAGGCCAAGGGACCCCACTAGTGCACGAATCTGTGCACCGAGCCTCTGGTATGCAAATAAGATCTTTGGTTAATCTCTTCCCGCCCACTTCCCTCTGAGATTCATCAGTCTGTTCCATGTTTCCATGCCTGTGCATTGAGCGTCTGCCCCCTGGTGATCATTGCATGTCATACCTACCAGACGGTCAGACAGTCAGATGGTCAGGCGGTCAGACAGTAGCTTAAGCATTTCTATATATAGATAGTCATAATGACAAAGGGTGGGAATGTCTCCCAAGCAGCAGGACACATGAAGAACAGGTGTTCTACGTATAATGCTTCCAGTGATAACACCAAAGAATTAAACACGTGTGTGCATGCATGCACACACAAACAGACATACACATATATATTAGAAAGAAGACAGTTCTTATAGGGATGAAACACTGCAGGTCAGGAAATATCTAAGAACTAGTATATCGTCTTTATGGGATAGGATTAATGTACTGCAGGTCAAATTGTGTTTTCTGTTCCTTTTTTCCCATTTCCCATCATATCAATTATGTGTTTACTGTACACTTGGGGGAAGTATTAAACAGTTCTCTGCTCTCAAAAATCCAAGTCACCCCACTTGGTGAGACCCAGAAGGTCCTTCCTGATCTGACCCTGCTCACTCCTCCATTCTCTCTTCCACGCCTCCCCTAGTGCTGTTTCACCAGCAGAACCACCCCAGTGCTCGGGACATGCTGTGGGCTCTCAGGCTTCTGTGACTTGGCTTGTGTTTGTCCTTCCACCTGGAATGTACCACTTTCCTCTGCACCCCTCTGCTCCTGGTGAACTCCTATGAGATACTTTACCCCTCAACTCTCACTCTTAGATGTAGACTTGCCCTCCCACCAGCCTCTATCACCTTTAACATATAGTATCTCTATCTAGTAATGAACAATTGTGCAATAAACAGTCCATCTTCATGCCTATATCCACTATTAGATTTTATGTTCCATGAGGTCATAGACACGATCTTGTTCACCAGTGTATCCCTAGTATGCAGGACTGTGTCTGGTTTAATTCATATTGGATGGATGGATGGATGGATGGATAGATGGATGGATGACAAAGTATTAGGTGAAGGTAGAGGGAAACAAAAGACAGTAGATTCCAAATATTAACCATGTGGAAGAGAGAGTTGGAATTGGGGGACATGTTTAATCAGCCCAGATCTACAGTGATGAGCAGACACTCAAGGGGGTGATTCTGTACCCATGAAGGTTGCATCTGGGGTTCATTAAAAATATTCTGCTACAGTAAGGGCTCAGAGAGCAGGATATGATTTTGTTTTGGCATCATTCAGTCAGCCCATCTGCAGAAACACCAAGTTGTAACATCTAGTGAGGGTTTATTTTTCCCCCCTGAAAGCCAAAGAAACTTAATCTGAAAACCAGCACAAAACCAGCACCCTAAAGGTGAGAATTAGAAAAGAACAATTAAGTATTTAGAAATAACAGTGTCCCTACTTGCTCTTCTCAAAAGATCCATCTTAAGCACTCTGTGTGCTGGGTAGTTTTTTAGAAAAACAAAACTCTTCCGCTGACTGGATTAGGGTTAGAGTTGCTTGTGTATAAAGTTGTAGCTAAGAATAATCATGTACCAGACCCAGACAGATATGCAAATGAGTGTGGGCCCAAGGACTCATGTGCTCAGGTAAGCTTTGTCTTGTCAAGATGAATAGGGTCTTCAAGTGACTACTGGGGAGCTGGGGTGACCACCACCGGAGCCCATTCTGGCCCATAAAAATTATACTCAGAAGACGTCAAAGAGACAAGAATGCTTTCAAAGGGCCCCAAGTCAAGCAACCAGTGGGGAACTGACCAGATTGCCACCTGTTTCAAATTAAATGTGTTTATTATCTTTGCATGTCGCTCCCCAGCTCAGCATAATGAGTTAGAAAATATCTTCTGTGATTTTAACAGAAAGCATGTTTTTGTAAGTTTAACTAGCTGTTTGCTTTCACAATCAGGCAGTGACATTTCCCTCGCTTGGACTCTGCTGTGTGCTTTATTGGGGCTGTAGGATGGTGTCTGTGGGCTCTGCTCATTCAACACTCGTTTTCTGTTCTGTGATGCCTCAGGCTCTCTGCTGGGTGCTAGAGTGGGAACAACATAGTTCGTTAGTAAATATATAAGTGAAGCAATTGTAGTTTATGAAGGGAAATAAACAAGGGAGACAGAGTGAGTATCTATCAAGGATGGGGTAGTTAGGAACGTTCTTGGCCAAAAGAATTAGGAGCTAAGAACTGAAGGATAAGAAGAAACCATTCAGATAGAATCTGGAAGATGAGTATTCCAGGCAGAGGAAACAGCAATTGTAAAGGCTTTGAGACACTCAAGGGCTTGTAATAAATAAGGAGAAAACAAGCCAGAGTGGTGAGAGGGGAGAGGAGAGAGAGAGCCATGGGAGGAAGGAGGCTGGAGAGAGACCAGAGTCAGGTCAGGCACAGCCTCACAAGAAATGTTCAGGATTTCAGATTTTTATTCTCAAGCAATGGGAAGCCAGGGGGAAATGCCATGATTGGATTTGCATTTTATGAGGATTAGGCTGGTTAATCTATGAAAAACAGACTGGAGAGTGAGGAGGGAGGGAGCAGGGAGGCAGGGGAGGGGGGGGGCGGATGACATCGGGGGGGCGGGGGGGAGTGGTTGCTTTCATCCAGGGTGAGAGGTGATGGTCGCCTGCCCTGGGATAGCTCCCTGGGAGAAGGGAGAAAAGAGGGTGGGGATGGGGGCGGGGGGGGGGGGGGGGTTGGAGGTAGCCTGGACAAGACTTGCTGATGTGTTGGCTAGAGGGGACAAGGAAAAGGAAGACTCAAGAGACCTGCTGGTGTTCTGACCTGAACAAGAGGGTGGAGGATGGTGCTGCAGAGTGATGGGGGCGTTGGGAGAGGAACAGCTGTTGTGTGGGAAGGTGGGGGATGAGAGTCCATTTTGAACTTGTTAATTGGGGACACCCGCTGCTTCCATGTAGAAACAAAGACGTCCCTTGGCAATAAGCCTCTTGAAAAGGCTCACTTTTATTTATTTATTATTTTTAATTTAAATTCTTTATTGTTTAAAGTATTACATGAGTCTCCTTTTCCCCCCATTGACCTCTCCCCGGCTGCTCCCACCCCCCAACACATGCCCTCACCCCCCTACTGTCTGTGTCCATTGGTTATGCTCATATGCATCCATACAAGTCCTTTGGTTGATCTCTGACCACCATCCCCCTCTCCTGCCTTCCCTCATCGGTTGGACAGTCTGTTCGATGCTTCTATGTCTCTGGTTCTATTTTTGTTCATCAGTTTATGTTGTTCAGAAAAGACTCACTTTGAATTTATTGTTTTAAGTTTAGAAGTCATGATAGAAACACTTGGAAGAACATGAGATGGAGCTAGACACAAGCTGAGAATTAGAGATGATTTAAGGGCTGGCAATAAATCTAGTGACTGACAGAGCCTATGGGAATACGTAAGCATGGGTTCTTTCCTTTGCAGCATCCTGTCCGACCGGACTTTATTCCTGCATCGGAATAAAATTGCTCGATGAGATATGGGTGCAGGGAGTCTGAGAATTGCGTGTGCTGAGAGGGATGTCGGAAACTTTTGGAAAGGAGGACGAGAATTATGATGCAAAGATAGGAGGAAGTACATGGGCCTCACAAGACGTGCCTAGGGGATGCTACCATCTGCTGATTTAATGTTGTCCTGTGAGTTTCAGCAAGTGGAACCCATTTTTTAAAAAGCCGCTCTAAAAGTGACATTTCTCTGTAAATCAGATATGAAAAAAAAGAAATGAAAGGAGACACCTCTTAGCATTTCCTCAGCCGAGTGTCTGCCTCCCATTCATTCTCAGCCGTTTATGTTGACTTTTCTACCAGCCTGCCTCTTCCGAGCACACGCCAGCCCTCTCTTTACTTTGCTTATCTCAGTGATGGCAAACCTTTTGAGCTCAGCATGTCAGCATTTTGAAAGACCATAACTTAACTCTGGTGCCATGTAACATATAGAAATTTTTTGATATTTGTAACCATAGTAAAACAAAGATGTATATTTTTGATATTTATTTTATATATTTAAATGCCATTTAACAAAGAAAAATCAACCAAAAAATGAGTTCGCGTGTCACCTCTGACACGCGTGTCATAGGTTCGCCATCACTGGCTTATCTCCTCCTGTTTGGTGTCTGCAGGTGCCCGGGGTGCTTGTAGGAAGCATAATATCTGGGAGGTGCGTGAATTTGCCTGCAACGCAAAATGCGTTATCTCGAGGTTGTCACCAGTAACTGACGTGGAAGGACAGAGTGTCCGGTGGGTTTCTGGTTTGCACGCATAGAGCCTCAGGGTTGTACAGGGGGAAGTTGTCTACTTTTGATAGAAAGAGCTGAAGTGTTGCGGTCAGAGATGCCTGAGCCGACTCCTTAGCGCTGCTGTTTTCTATTTTGTGGCTTCAGGCTCGGGACTTGCCGTCCCTGAACCAGGTAACTGCATCTGAGAGTGTGGATAATGGTCTACATGTAAATTGCAGGCTGTTGTGGAGAAGAAGCGATACCACCCAGGTGAAGGTCTTCGCTTGCTGCCTCATTCACGCTGGTATCCACGCACAGTCCATCATGTCACTCTTCCTAAACTTACAAACATTATGGTTGTCTGTGTGACAGGAAACACATTCTGGGTCGTAACCCTGTAAAGGCTGGGGACAAACTTCACAGCCAAGGGTAGAAGGTGCTGGGGTGCTGGGGTGCTGGGGCGCTGGGATGGGGTTTCTAGCAAAGGTTACAAACTGGAAGCTCCTGGTGTGCTAACTTCAACTCACGCATTGTTTACAGTGAATGAAAATGTTAAATCTGGAGACCTTCCCTCTGCGGTGTGGATTGCAAGACTGTGTCAGGTGGCACAGGGCTCCCACCATTCCGGGCGGCCCCCAGCAGTGGTGACTCAGATGCAGGTCCCAGTCTCAAGGTGGCATGTCGACTCCACAGCGAGGTGCAAATCAGGCTTTGTGAAGAGAGAGGGGGCTTTCTACATTTCTAGAGGTTTCCTTGAACATATAGAGAGCCAGGCTAGATCAAGCAGGATCCAAACCCTGGTGCTGAGCAGGCAGAGGAAATGACTTGGAGAGATGTCTACCAGACCGGAAGAGGAAGTCGAAAGCGTTGCCACGGGAGATGGGAGGGCACCTCTGCCAGGGTAGAACCAGCGTTGAGCATCTCAGCTTGGTCACTGAGAAGTGACCGCCACCCCACCAGGCTTAAGCAAAACTGGGACAGGGGGTTGATGAGGCATCAGAAACCCTCCCAGGAAGCCCAGAAGGCTGGGGGAGAGTCAGCGCATCTTGGCTCATTCTCTGCTTCCACTGTGTGTCCCAAGGTTTGGAGGTGGCGGAACAGCCAGAGTCAAGGGTTTCTCATGGCCGAGAGTCCCCTGTCTGCTCTGGTTAGAGGCCCCCAAAGTGTTGAAGGCAGCAGTGTCCGGCATAGGCCTGTGGCCAGGGCAACGAAGCCAAGGACCTCAAAGCACGGGGACCCAATGATGTGAGGGGTCACAGGAACTTGAGGATTTGCCAGGAGATGCCAGCAGGATGCTCAAGGAGGACCGTGAGATTAGCCACACCTAAGTAAACAACAGCCCGGGACCTTTAAGCACAAGACAAGCTTGTAGCGAAGGACCCCTGCCACAAGGGTATTTCAACTTCCTCCACACCCAGATACCATGTTGGGAAGGAGGAGGGGACCAGTGACCCCTTGAGAGAGGGTGGAAACAGCCTTTGAGTTGACTGGGTCTTGACCCGAATGAGGCTGAGTTCATCTCAAAGTGAAATGTCTCCAACAAGAGCAGAGTAAGTTACCCTGAATGGGTGATTTTTCTTTTTCTCTGACAGGAGAGGGCCAGGGGGCTCCAGAACAAGAGAACACTGAGAAGGGAGTTTTGCTTTTCGCAACCTCTCTGAGTGGTCTGTGTAAAGGTTGGTGCCTCTCCTTGACTTCCTCCCGAGGTCGACTCTTTACGCTGGACTTTTCCCTTTGAACCACAGGGTCAGATTGGGGTGGTGGATGAATCTCGTCTAATACAATGATTACTTTTACCCATTACATTATTTCTAATATAATGACATGGAAGGAAATTCATACGGAAAGAAAAAAATCTATATGCCCTCTCCCCGACGGCAAGGACGTGCGCCTATTTTTTTTTTCTGGTTTCCTTATCCACGTTATTAAAATACTGGCTGACAGATTGGCCCACGCCTCTGACTCAGAAAGATTGCCCTACTACATTCAGAGTGTGTCCCGGGTCACAGAGAGGAAAAGAGAGATGAGCTGATTACCTGACATTGTCATATCGCTTCAAGGTTTTGCTTACTTGGGAGGCATTCCAATGCGTGAAATGGGACATTCTTGGATGCTATTCCGATTCAACAGTGTTCACAGGATTTCACTTGGTTTCCTACTTCTTAGCCTTTACCCTTATACAAAACCCCAGGACTCATGGGCCTGCCTCTCCATCCTTTCTCTGGTATCCTAGACCCCGATTCTGGGGCTCTAGACTTCTTTGGAACATTGACATTGTGATATTCTTGGAAGAATGTTGCAGATGGAATCCCTAGGTCTTTCTAACTGAAGTCCTAAAGAAGGGATTTTAGTTTTGCTCACCTCTGCATAGTCCTCCCCGCTGCCCCCTGGGTTCTAATGCCCGTGGCATTGTAAGAAAGTGTTTTACCTGGACTGGGGAGTGAGCAGTGAAGGAAAACACATTCCCCTGCTCAGATGTGTATTGCTCTTGATTGGGAAGCAGATGCTGTTCTCAGCAGGTGCTTGATCCATTTACCTGGAACTCTAAAGAGACAGGGTCATACCCACCCACATCCATGAGTAGCGAGGTGCCCTGGTGCAACAAGACCACCTGCCAGGGCTAACTTAGATGTGATACAGTGGGGCCTTGACTTACGAGTGTCCCGACTAACGAGTTTTTCGAGATACGAGCCGTCTCTCGGCCGATTTTTTGCTTTGAGTTGCGAGCTAAGATTCGGGTTACGAGCCAGCTTCAGATACCCCACCGCTAGCTGGTGCAGCGAACGTCACAGTGAACGCCACAACATCAGCCCAGCATCACGTGTCTCACTCGTTCACTTTAAGATTTGACATACGAGTAATTTGAGTTACGAGCTCCGTCACGGAACGAATTAAACTCGTAAGTCAAGGCCCCACTGCATTATGGATTGCGAAACCTACCGTGGGAAATGAAAGCAGCTGGTGTTGTGAGGGGCCATTCTGTCGTCTCCCCACATATCCCCAGGGCGCTTCCCTCAGTAGCCCACAGTGTGCAGGTGTTTTCAGAAGAGCCTTGGATGGTGCGGGCCTCAGGGCCACATGAGAAGCACTCCACACGGTGGTGATGTGCCTGTGGGCTTTTCAACGGTGAAGAAAGAGGGGGCACTTCTGAGATGAGCCCTGGGGAAGAAAATGGAGAGGATACTGAATAAAATCCAGACACAAAATTTATGGGCAAATAGGTAAAATAAGGCTTTATAGTTTTTTTTCCCCACTGAAAACTCAGTTTTTTTTGTTTTGTTCCTGAAGTCTGCAATATTAGTTTGCCTGGCATTACCAGATGTTAAATTACACTGACTGAATAATATGGGGAAATCAGATCATGATAAACCAGGTTGGCATCATTTCTAATTTCTATCATGACTTATGAATGATTTAGAACCACTTTTAGTTTCCAAATATACAAAAGTATTTTGGGCTATTTTGGGAGGAGGGTATTGAGTTCTCATTTTATTGTATTGAGGGTCAAAGAATATAGTCCATATGTTTTGTCACTTCTTTGATAGTTACTGAGATATCCTTTATGGCCTAGTATGTGTTCAAGTTTTGAAATGTTTCTTGAAAAGAATGCAGATTATTTAAGAGTTGAGATAAAATTCTAAATATGTGGATTTTATAAAGCGTCTTAATCATGTTGCTCAATATTGCTCATTATTAATTATTTGGTCACTTGATCAACCAGTTTGTAACAGATGCATGTTAAAATAACACTTTACGAAATTTAATTTTTCATAATTCTATTGACTTTCACTTTATATGAAATTACTGCTTTTGGAGGTCAGTCAAATATTGACAATTTTATATGGCTCAACCTAATATTTTAAGGCTATATTGCTGATATTTGTTGTCTTTAGTTGCTTCTGCTTTTCTGATATAGTATGTGATAGCCTTCCTTGTTCCTAAATAATAATTTTTTCTTTTAAAGTCTATTCTATTTGATACTTACATGATTAGAACATCTTTATTTTGATCAGTATTTTTCTAGTATAAACTATGTATCTTTATTCTAAGATCTACTTGTCTGGCATATTACTTTTTCTAATTATTATACCTTTTCTTTGCCCTCCCACCCTTATTCCTGATTTTTTCAGTGAACTATATCTTCTTTCATCTACTTACTCCCTCCATCTACACTTTTGGGAGTTATATATTCTATTTCTATAATCGTCCTACCAAGAGTCTCAACTCTGATGACTTTATTTTTCTCCTAGGTAAACTCACCTGAGCTCCAGGTGTGTTCTAGAATGTGTGTGAGAGACTTCTACTTAAAAATATCTATTTGAGCCCTGACCGGTTTGGCTCAGTGGATAGAGCGTCGGCCTGCGGACTGAAGGGTCCCAGGTTCGATTCCGGTCAAGGGCATGTACCTTGGTTGCGGGCACATCCCCAGTGGGGGGTGTGCAGGAGGCAGCTGATCGATGTTTCTCTCTCATCGATGTTTCTGACTCTCTGTCCCTCTCCCTTCCTCTCTGTAGAGAATCAATAAAATATATATTTAAAAAATAAAAATATCTATTTGCATAAGATGATCAATATGTCCATTAAACATTATTACTCCCTATTCACTAAACAAGTTTCCAAATGATGACTACTTGAAAACAACTATGAGCTCACATATGTATGGAAAAGAATTGTAACAGATTTCTTGAAAAAGTAGTAATTCATAGACTTCATTAATGCTCAGATGATGTCATTCATTCAACAATATATTGAGTGCCAACCTGCCCTGGACCCTGTGCCATCCATTCCAAAGTAGGGAACTTTCCTCATGGAATGGAGCAAGTAGAAAGAGCTGTTTTTCTTGAATTTCTTTTTTTAAAGTCACTTGATGATTTTACTGATTTAGGAGGGTAGTTTAAGTGCAAACATGAGGACAGAAACAGAGGAGATGACGTTTCCAGTCACCCAAGACAAAATGTTCCTTCACTGTTAAAGTCTAAGAGACTTGAACTAGAAATGAATCATCTATGATGATCTTAATAAACTCTATTGATAAACACGGAAGGAAAATGCAAAGCCATGAGTGTGTTTATTTGACTTAGAAAAGGCCTCCTGGGGGGCGGGGGGCAAATTTTGTGGTGCGTTCTTTTATGTAGTGATCAGAGACAAAAATGATTCTTTTTGTGAAAGCATATAAATCTCTAAGCGGCTTTCAAGAGGAAACAAAATTCAAATGAAATCATGGAGATTTGGCTCAGATTTTCCAAAGAGGTAAAGAATGTCATCGATAAAACTACTGGGACATCCTCAGTGCAATGGGACGACTGGGCCCCAAAGCAGTAAAAAATTGGGGGAAGAATGAAAGCGTACACGGACTGTGGTCAATATCTTAATGCTGAAAAGGTTTGGGGAGATTTTCTTCAGATTGAGCTCATCTCGAAGGGAGGAAAGGAAGGGACTGTGGTCAATATCTGTGGTATTGTCATGGTATGGGTGATACACACACACATGCACACACTCTTACACATACATATATGTTGATTATATGCATATATATTAGGTTACACACATTATATGTTTATAATTAATATTTAATATAATAATTAAAAATATAATCATTGCAATAAACCTGTGATGTATTACTTGTCCATTTTAATGAGGAATGGAAGACTCAGAGAGTTGTCTGTGTAAGATCGTACGTGAGAAGAGTGGCTGACGCCTATCAAATTCCAGAGGCCGCTACTTTTCTGCTCTATATTAATGTCCAGAGGATACGTCAATTGAAAACGTTAAAAATCAACTTGTTTTTCAATATCCTCCTCCGCTTACTAGGAATGTGACGTGGCTAAATTCCTTAAGCTCTCTGGGCCTCATCGGACCCTTTTGTAAAATGGGGGTCGCAGCAATCTGACCGCTTGTCTAAAAAGTCCCCTGAAAAATTCAATGGATAACGAAGTCAATGTACCGATTTAACTGTACCAAGGAACATCCAAATGTCATTGTAAAAGCACTGGACAAAAATAAGAACCCGCCGTCTTGTTTTTATGATTGTGCAAGGAAACCAAAGGAAATTACCTAAATTTAGCCAGTGACTTAAGCAAGATCAAAAAGAACAACACAAATATTTTTTATTGCAACTTAAGGAAAATACAAATTAAAAACCTCTTTGTTTACAACAGTGGGATGTTGATACTTGTTTAAGCTGAATGCTGGGTACAAGGGATTCTCACTACTTTTGTGTTTGAAAATTTCCATCGTAACAAAAGTATAAAAAATACTTCCTTGTTTGGCTCTGAGAAATTGGCTGGGATGGTGGTTAAGAACAAGAATTCAGTAGCCAGATGCCTGCGTTCAAATCTTACCTCTGCCACTGATTAGCTGTGTGACCCTGAGCAAGTGACTGTACCTAAACCTCTCTATGCTGAATGGCCTCATCTATAAAATGAGGATAATCATAGAACCTACATGGAAGGCTTGTTAGAATGAACTATGTTGATACTTGATAATCACTTAGTAAATTGTGTGTAAGTATTTCAGAAATAATATAAAAATCTTTTGGGTTCCGAATAGATACGATTATTTACATGGAATATGAGGCCCAGAAAGGTCAAGCAACTTACTCAGTGTCACAGAGTTAGTAGGTGCCTGTGCCTGGGTTTGATTCTGGGTCTGTCTGATCCCAAAAGCTTGGCTCTATGTGCTGTGCTGCCTCCCGTGGGGACCATGTGTAGATAGGTCCTAGCTTGGTGAATGGTAGATACTATATGGACCCTAGGGTTTAAGGGTCTCTTGGAGACCAGAAGGGTTACGGGGTGGGTCTATTTGTAGGAGGCCCAAGAAACAAGTTCTTCATAGAGGCCAGCAGGGGACCCCAGACTTCTCTGGAAGGGCTCTGAAGGGAGTCAGAGCTCCAGAGTGAAATAAACTTAAAAAAAAGAAGTAGGCAGCTCATGTAGCCTCCTCAGGCATACATAAGGGGGAGGATGTTATAGGTTTACTGTCATCTCCTCTGGGGTAATGTTCTTATTCCTTATGAATCAGGTGGATCTGAGGAGTTTTGCACGGAAGAAGAAGTGTTGATTTCACGTGATGTCAGGAGGAAACATGATCAGGGGGGTGGCTTAACACTCACCCTATTCCTTAAGGAAGAATTAAGAAAAGCTTAGCTACTTTGACGCATGTATAGGTTACGCAAGAATCTTCCAGTCCTTCTCAGTTTGACTGAAGTACATTTCTGAGGTTCAAAACTAAATAGTTAAATGCCACACTATGACGTTTTGATGTAAGCAGTGGGATTTTGCTGGTGCCTAGAGTTGGATTTTAATGACCCTCTGGAATCTGGTGGCCAGTCCCCTGTGATCTCTGAGAGCAGTACTGTAATTAACATCAGTATACCTCCTTCATAAAGGAGGTTCGTGGGCATTTTCCCATGTGACCTCTCCAACAATTCTGTCTGGGGAACTACAGTTACTTCCATTCTAGAAGTAGGAGAAACAGAAGTCCAGAGATTATAAGACCGTGTACCACTGCATACTGGTTAATGGTAGGTCTAGGACATGAGCCCAGGTATTTACCTAAACACTGGAGATACTTTCATGCTGTTCCATTACTTCTGACCAAAAAGTAACCAATGTCTGATAGGAAAGATTGATCGTCTTAGTCCTTTTGGGCTGCGATAACACAATACCCTAGACTGGATGGCTTATAAACACGATTTCTCACAGTTCTTAGAGGCTGGGAAATCCAAGAGCAAGGTGCTGGCAGATTCAGTGTCTGGGGAAGACCTGTTTCTCAGATCAGACACTGCCATCTTTTTGCTGTGTCCTCAACTGGCAGTGGGGGCAACGGAGCTCTCAGCGGCCTCTTTCATGAGGGCACTAGTCCCCTTCATGAGGGCTCCACCCTCACAGCCTAACCATCTCCCAAAGGCCCCACCGCCAAGTACCATCACATTGGGTGTTAGGACTTAACGCCATTCAGTCTACCGTATGGATGTTTATAAAAACAGATATAGCACATGATAGAAAATATGAGTCTACAAGTAAATGCCCAAGAGATAATTAACTCATTAATTTTTTTTGAAAAACAGCAACTCTAGATCCTTAGGGATAATTTGCAGGTCATCATTTTCTACCAGCCTGTTAATTTTTTTCCCCAGGCAGGCAGGCAGCTTCGCAAAGTTGTTCAATGGAATGGTTTGATAGGTCAAGAACAGATTTTCCAGTTTTGGGGGGGGGCCACTCCGAAACTACCAAGGTGTATCGCCTGACAAGTCTCAGGGTAGTCAAAAACAGGAGGAGAAGCCCGCGGATTTACCCAATCCATTAAGGTGACATTGCAGGAAGGAGGTAATAGGAATCTTTCCTATGAAATGATAGCTCCTGAAATTTATGTAAAAATAGTGAATATAAATGGTTATGGGAAGGACAGCCTATTAGCACAAAGGTTCCTTTTTCACCTAATCGCCAATTAATGTCACTTGGAGGGAAGCCAGCACAGTCTCTCCTAAGCTTCCTTTGTCACTGCCCATCTCTCTCTGAGAGGGACATGCAGTGACTTTCTGAAGCAGCGACAGTCTCCACGTTCCACCGGATGATTTCTCCATCCACACTGTGGGAGCGAGGAGGTCAAGAAGTGAACAGTCATCCCCAGCTGAGATACATCCCATGGAGAGCTGTCTTTCCTCCCAAGGAGAGTGGGTAACCGCAAAGGTATTCTGGAAAGAACCGTAGCGGAAGAGACCAATCCCTGTTCCCAGAGAGCACAGGGCCCCTTGCCTAGTGGACTGCGTGGGTACCGACAGCCCCACACTCCAAATCGGGCTCCCGGGAGTCCCGAGCAGGGCCCTGCTGACCCCCCGCCAGGGGAGAACGTGCACTTGGAGGCCCCCTCCAGACTGCTTTCTGGGGTTTTCTTCTCTGGGTTCTAATGACTGGGTCCACCAGAGACACAACAAGCAGTCTGTTCTCTCACCAGTGATCTTGTGGTTCATTTCTCCCACCTTACCCA